GTTGGGTGGTTATACCTTGTTACCTAACTTAATGTATATTGCTATTGTTGGTATGACAAATAAACACACCATTCTGAATGGTAATTTATAGTATACAATACATATGTAAATGCATATATACATACATACATACATGAACAACCACAAACACACTCACTCACACAACCACATAATGATATATAAAGAGAATTCCTATTTATATACCTATGTACATATATGTACACACAGCACTCATGCAACGCGCGCCAGCCAACACACACACAACCAACACACACACGCACGGTCCGCAACACAACGCGCACATCCACACCCACACGCCACACGCAACCACCACACCCCACACCCCAAACACCCACCCAAACCACTTACTCACACACACACAAACACGCAACATCCACACCCACAACCATATCCCGCACACCACACCTAACACCCACCCAACCCAACCTACCCACACACCACACACACACACACGCACACTCACAGTATCACACATGCGGACACACACACATGTCATCACATCACACACACACAACAACACACCGACACACACACACACCCGACACACACATGTACACCACACACAACAACACATCACACTCACTACAACACACACAACACAACACAACAGACATCAACAACACACACACACACACACACAGACAACACAGCATACATACACAAGTCACACACACAGTGCACGCCGAGACTGAGAGTCGGCAAACACAGCACACAAACACACACACACCTGGAACACAAACAAAACCGACACACACACACCAGACACTAGGCATGACACACAAATCCACATGTCACTACACAAACACAACACCACACACCACACACACACAATCATCCATATATATAATATAATAATATAGACACTATATATATAAAATATCATAATATTATTATATATAATATATATATGATGTATCAATAATATAATCACATAATACGTGTGTGTTGGTATAATATGCTATTTATAGATAGATAGATAGGTAGAAAGACATAAAGAAATATAGATCGATACAGAGAAAGATAGGCAGAGAGAGAAAGAACCAAGACATCTAATAGAGTTCATAGAAATTAGATAGAGAAAGAGAGACGAGAGCAATAGAAGAACAAGAGAATAGGAACAAGAGACCATACCATCTAGATAAGACAGAAAAGCAGCAACAGACAGACAGAGACTGAAAGACAGACAGATAGCCAGACACTTCGCACAGTAGACAGATAGACAGATTGTTGCATAGTACGCGTGCATCCCCGAAAGACGTGATTAGCCAGACAGTCGGCAGACAGACAGAGAGATAGACAGATGTTTGGCCGTACGCGTGCATCCCTGAAAGACAGACGATAGCCAGACAGTCGCACATAAGACAGAGAAGACTAGACAGATGAGCCGTACGCGTGCATCCACTGAAAGACAGGACCGATAGGCCAGCGACGTCACAGATAGACAGAGAGATAGACAGATGAGCCGTACGCGTGCGATCCCCTGAAAGACAGACAGATAGCCAGACAGTCACGAGCAAATGAGAACAGAGAGATAGACAGATGAGTCCGTACGGCGTGCTCCCTGAAAGACAGACATGATAATGCCAGACATCACAGCAAATAGACAGAGAGATAGACAGAAGGCCGTACGCGTGCATTCCCTGAAAAGACAGACAGATAGACAGACAACGTCGCAACCAGAATTAGACAGAGATAGACAGTTGGTGAGCCGGTACCGTGCCATGCGCGTGCCATCGCCTATGAAGACAGATGAGTGCGGTATGCATAGCCCAGACAGTCGCACAAATAGACAGAGAGATAGACAGATGTTGAGCCGTACGCGTGCATCCCTGAAAGACAGACAGATAGCCAGACAGTCGCACAGATAGACAGAGAGATAGACAGACCAGTACGCTGTGCATTCCCTGAAAGCAGACAGATAGACAGACACTCGCACAGATAGACAGAGATAGAGATGGGAGCCGTACGCGTGCATCCCTGAAAGACAGACAGGTAGCCAGACACTCGCACATATAGACAGAGAGATAGACAGATGAGCCGTACGCGTGCATCCCTGAAAGACAGACAGATAGCCAGACAGTCACACAAATAGACAGAGAGATAGACAGATGGTGAGCCGTACGCGTGCATCCCTGAAAGACAGACAGATAGCCAGACAGTCGCACAAATAGACAGAGAGATAGACAGATGTTGAGCCGTACGCGTGCATCCCTGAAAGACAGACAGAAGCCCAGACAGTCGCAAATAGACAGAGATAGACAGATGAGCCGTACGCGTGACACCCTGAAAGACAGAGAGATAGACAGACACTCGCACAGATAGACAGAGAGATAGACAGATGTTAAGCCGTGCGCGTGCATCCCTGAAAGACAGACAGATAGCCAGACAGTCACAAATAGACAGAGAGATAGACAGATGGTGAGCCGTACGCGTGCATCCCTGAAAGACAGACAGGTAGCCAGACACTCGCACAGATAGACAGAGAGATAGACAGATGGTGATCCGTACGCGTGCATTCCTGAAAGACAGACAGGTAGCCAGACATTCGCACAAATAGACAGAGAGATAGACAGATGGTGAGCCGTACGTGTACATCCGTGAAAGACAGACAGATAGACAGACAGACACAAATAGACAGAGAGATAGACAGATGAGCCGTACGCGTGCATCCCGGAGGCTCGTCGCTGTCATCGTCGCAGTCCTGCTCGCCGTCGCAGTAGCGGTCGAGGCTTATGCACTGCTTATTCCTGCACGGATACTCGGCCATGGTACACGCTGCCCTCGTAGCTCGGACGCCCATCAACGCCCATACCGTTATCCACGCCCACCACATAGCCTGTGAAAAGAGAAGCAGAATTAGTCTCAAAGATTGATAGAGAGAGAGAGAGAGAGAGAGAGAGAGAGATAGAGATAGAGATAGATAGATAGATAGATAGATAGATAGATAGATAGATAGATAGAGAGAGAGAGAGAGA